AGTTAGAAGGTAGTTTCAGTATAAGGATTATTTAATTTGACAAGTTGTTTCGTTCATGATTCTTGGTAGTTTCAGTGCCATTCTAGCCAATGTTTAGTCTGTAATTTTTGAGAATTGATGTGCGAGTAATGACTTTCACTTAGCTTCAACTTTTATGTGTGTATTTATTGGCATGTGATAGAATTCTCTTTTCCTTTTCATTGAATTCATTTTCATACTCTAATTGTATTATTTGTACATAGGCAAATCATGCTCGAGATGGCAACTCGCTGATATGGCTGGTGCAAGGAATGAAGCCATCATTAGAATTCAGACCGACAACGGGGAGGGATGCCCAGGACTAATTCAATGATGATTGATGATGGTATAATAAAAACTGCAGTCTGCATCAGCACCAATTTCTAGGCCTAAGTAAAGGTATTCAACCCAGAACTCTGCTTAGCGCTAAAAATTGCCCTCACCCAACCTTGATCCTGTTTGACCCACTTCTGAAGAGTCAAGATATATGACTCATCCTCCCCGTTCGTATTTTCTTATTGACTCTTTCTGACCCTGTAGGTTGGGGCGGGTCGGGAAGAATTGGATTAGTGGGTCAGTCCTAATCAAGTGGAATCTCAATCCCTTCACTCTCACTTGCTTTCTCTCTCATTCCACAAGTGGGTAACATACAGTAATCCGGCCAACGGGCCGGGTAATAAGCTAGTAGAGTAGTAGACAAACAAGCAAACGCGGTAATAATAATAAAGAATATTAAAATCCAACCACCTTTCTTGTAATGTTATCGTATAATAACAGCCCTCTTTTATATATATATATATATTATTGATTGACTCTTTCCACGTCATGCCATTTCTGGCAAATTTCCCTAACCTACCCGGAAATTTCCACAGCCACGAGGAGAAAAGATTAGAAGAAGAAGAAGAAGAAGAATCAATTCAATTCAAATCCAACCACCTCTTCTTCTTCCTCTTCCTACGCGTGCCACTACTATATATCTGCTCCAAGTCTAAGGTTTCCAAGATCGAAATTCCTGACGACACTGGTAGATAATCTACCTCGCCGGCGCATATATAACGCGGCATTCTTTAACTACCCGGCGGGAAGGGAATAATCCAACGGCGTGATCAGGAATCGGAATCGTACGAATTGCATTGCTTCGTCTTCTCTCTCTCTCTCTCTTTCTTGTTCGTCGCCTGTAAAGTTTTTTTTATCAGGGTTTTTCCTGAGAAAGAAATTAAAAGAAAAAGCAACCATGGGAGGGTGCATGTCTGGCGATGTGAAAGGCGGGAAGCAAGCGATTGGCGGAACGTACTTGGCGCCGATCCCCCGCGACGGCGGCGGCGGCGGCCATAACGACGCCGTCGATTTCTTCTTTAGGGCTCGTGGCGCCCATCCCCTTTTCTCCCAAATCGAGGTAAATCAGCCCATGTATTCGTTAATAAATTGATTGGCCCCAAGTAAACCGAGGTTTTGGGTTCTAACATGGGAGGGGTAACTGTTGGTGATTGAGACCATTCTGCAACAATGGAGCAAGTTTTTTTGGCTGGATAGAAAAGGCCAGGGAGAAAGGCTAGAACTAGCTTTAACGTGGAATCAGGGGTGAAGAAACATACTATTTTTCTTTGGTATCTGATGGGTTTTGCCTTTCGAATGGTGTTTAACTGTTCAGAGAATGCGAGATTTGAGATCTCGGGGAAGCCATGTTTGAACTCTTCTGGGAAACCATGGACCCTTCTGTTCATAAGGGTTTTGTTCCTTACTATTAGATTGAAGGATAATACCGAACCTTTGTCAAGGGAAGACTGCAGCTGAGAAGAACCTCTGCTTGTTCTTCCAAATTCTTTGCCACGCAAGTTGATGGTTTGTTCATTGATATAAAGGGATTAGTTTGTACGTGTTTCGTTGATATGACAAAACAAGAGGGCCCCTTAGTTTTTTTTTGTTGGGAACATTTTGGTGAAGTTGACGCGACTTGTGAGAATTTGTTTTTGTCCCCTGCCTTTAACCTTGATCCTCCTTGATTATTGCTAGCTCTCGACAAAAGGAATCCAAGATTCTCAGGTTGTGGATGATGATTAAGCTCAGAACAGGACAGAAACAGTGGAAATTAAAGTATTATTAGCTCTAAAGTTTTTTCGGGAGAGGAGCTAAACAATTAACAAAATATTAGGGACCATCTATATAACATGATTAATATAAGTGGACTCTGAATTTGGGGTCTTCTCTAGGTCAATGTGGTAGCTATTGCTCTGCTTTGCCTGCATGTGCATGTCTGCACGTATTTGTGCATGTCCATCTGTCTAGGTAAGCTTTGGCAGAGCTTCTGCTAAACTCATTTAGGTGAGCTTATTTTGCATACCACCTCTGTGTTATTGTTAGATATATTTACCTAAGCTGTTTTTATGTGCCACTGCAGTTGTCATTATCAGCGTCGAAGTTACTCGATCGGGATATAACCTCAAAGGTGCCTTTTCTTTAATCCAGAAATCATTATGTTACCTTGACTTCATGTACTGGCTCCTGCTTGCTCATAATTCCAAGTCTTCGCTAACTTGAATGCGATTTCTCCATGCTTCTTCTTCCAGAGCGACCCCATGGCTGTTGTGTATGCCAAAAAAAGTGATGGGAAATTGGAGGAAGTTGGTCGTACAGAAGTCATCCTGAATAGCTTGAATCCTTCATGGATTTCGAAGGTCACGATTGCTTATCAGTTTGAGATGTTGCAACCGCTAGTGTAAGTTTAAATTATCCTGTTCATTCGAGTGATCGTGGTTTTCTAGTCATTCTTCCACTCTCTGGATTCGATCTAGTGTCTTCCACTGTCTTGTTTCATTTCTGCTCCTTCCAATCTTCACAGTATACACATATTCGACGTGGATACCAGTTACCATAACATGCCTGTAAAGGTATTTTTGATGTACCCTTTATATATGTACCCGCTATAGATATGATTCTTAAAGCTGCTTCTGATTTCCCTCCTTTTTGCTTCCATGCTAATATCTTCTCATGTCGCAGTCACTGAATTTGAACGATCAGGACTTCTTAGGAGAAGCCAATTGCTTTCTCTCTGAGGTTAGTTTCCATTGATTCAATATTGTTGCAGAGCTTTTTACTTCTTAGTCATTTAAGATTTTCTTATCCCAGTCAGACTTACAGATCTCCTATATATTCTGTTGCCTGATTTTCTGCAGATAGTGACCAGACAAAACCGTACATTAACTTTAACTCTCAAGAGCAGAAGTGGGCATGACACAGCCAGAAACTTAGGCACAGTCAGTATTCATGCTGAAGAAACAGTTGCTTCCAAGACTGCAGTTGATATTTCATTCCGTTGCTCCCACTTGGATAACAAAGACATGTTTTCTCTAAGTGTATGATTGATTAAGTTGCCATTAAGCTATAATTACTTCCTCTTGGTTTCTGGCATTATTAGTTCTCTTCTTATACTCATCTTCCTTTCTCTATGCAGGATCCTTTCTTGAGAATATCAAGAATAGTAGAGAGCGGAGGTTCGATACCAATATGCAAGACCGAGGTTATTAACAACAATCTGAATCCCGTCTGGAAACCACAGTGTCTTACGATGCAGCAGCTCGGAAGCAAGGTAATTAATTAAATTTGCTAATCTCTACTGTGATTTTTCTTTGAATGAACAGCTATAGGCTTCCTGTTGTACTGAGATCCATTGATACTTTTGTTGCAGGACAATCCATTGGTTATTGAATGTCTCGATTTCAACAGCAATGGAAATCATGTCCTTATTGGGTATGTATTAGAAAACTTGTCAACTTCCAGTCTTCCTTTTGTTTTCTTTCATTTTCTCTGATGCGGTCTTATGTGTTCTATGGTTCTTCAGTAAGATCCAGAAATCTATCTCGGACCTGGAAATCCTTCACAGAGAGAAAGCCTGTGTCAATTTAACAATGCCATCTCATCGCGGTCCCGATAAGGTTTTGAAGGGGCAGCTATTTGTGGATAATTTTTTGGAAAAAGAACAGCACAGCTTTCTGGATTACATTTCAGGTGGCTATGAGCTCAATTTCATGGTTGCAGTTGATTTCACAGGTATAAATACGATCCCTTACTGGAGTAATTATGCGTTCTTCTCTTGTTTCTCCCCATCCATTCATGATTCTATTTTTCGGATTGGTTTCAGCTTCAAATGGAGATCCAAGGCTATCAGATTCCTTACACTACATCGACCCCTTTGGCCGCTTGAACTCTTACCAAAAGGTGGCTGCTCCTGACTTCTCTTGTGAACGGAAGTGTGAATAGTTTTTTTCCAACTGTATTGATCTCAATCTTGCTTTTTTTATAAGTCTTCACTTAATCCTGTTATTTGCAGGCCATAATGGAAGTAGGGGAGGTCATACAATTCTATGATTCTGATAAGCATTTCCCTGCTTGGGGTTTCGGTGGGAGGACACCAGATGGTGCAGTATCACATTGTTTTAACTTGAATGGAAGTCCAACTGGCTTTGAGGTGAATTTCTTAGTCTGAGTCAGTCTGCTTCAGATGATCCTATATTGCTTCGTAAACCTAGTCAAAGAACATAGAACATATTGGCGCTCTTTTTCTTTTGGAACAGGTTAATGGTGTTGAAGGGATCATGTCTGCATATACAGCTGCTCTGCACAATGTTACTCTCGCAGGACCAACATTGTTTGGACGGGTGATCAACAATGCTGCACAAATTGCAGGTCAATCACTCTCACACGACCACCGGAAGTACTATGTGTTGCTTATCATCACGGTAAGCTCCACTTTCAGGCTCTTACTTCTTCAATTCGCCTTTGGTCGTGAACTTATCAATCAGTTTGTCCTTTCTTACAGGACGGAGTCCTAACAGATTTCCAAGAAACAAAGGATGCAATTGTGAAAGCATCTGATCTTCCATTGTCGATTCTCATTGTTGGAGTAGGAAATGCAGATTTCACGCAGATGGAGGTATAGTATGCCCTTTATAAACTTTGTTGTAGAGAATGCAGAAAAAAGCTTACCGTCGAAAACTCATTTTTGGTCTTTGGTGAAACCAAGCCCAAAATTTCTAATTTCGGTTCAGCAAAACCAAAACAGTGGTTTTGATTTTGGTTGACCGGAACCATTAGCACCCTACTTATCGACTTGTAATCTTTTGCTTGTTTCTGCAGATCCTTGATGGTGATAATGGTCGTCGTCTAGAGAGTTCCACTGGGCGAGTGGCTACCAGAGACATCGTACAATTCGTTCCCATGCGAGAAGTTCACAGTGAGTAGTCTCATTACCAGAGGCTCCATTTACTTCATATCTAGAATCTTTGGCTTGAAATGCTGCTGGGCTAAGTTAGGTGCTTACTATTGATTTTGGTGTGGATTAGGTGGGCGGCTCTCTGCTGTTCAGGCTCTTCTGGAAGAACTGCCAGGCCAGTTCCTTACCTATGTACGGGCTAGAGATATGAAACCGGGCCCTCGGCCGCAGCTCGCTTGATAGAGGAAGGGGTCATTCTAGTTGCAGACGTTGCCGACGAGCCATAGATAAGGAACATAGCTTTAACATGACCAAGTGTTGATATTAGTAAGTGAGAGTTTGGGTATACGGCAGGAATCTGTTTCTAGTAGTACCTGCGTTGTTCAATAGGGATGGCAAAAATATCCGTAACCGTGGATATCCGCCCGAATCCGGCCTAGTCGGGTAGGGTAAAACCCGAACCCGAAGGACATTTAGTGGGTACGGGTAAAACCCGAACCCGAATATTGCGAGTAATGGGTGGGCATGGATTTCTCACTATCCGACCCGAACCCGCCCGATTATACACATGCATATGTATTTTGTCTAGAAATAATCATTATTTTTCTCTAACATATTTTATATTTAGCATATAAATATAACATTTTCATGAAATTGTGTTGTTTTAGTTAATTTTCTTCATTCTAGTGAATTCTTGTCGTACTTTTTCTCTTACTTAATATAAGAATACGTGTGAATGTTAACATATTGGTTGGAGTTATGAAGAGAAATTAATATCCATGGATAACCGTGGATACCCGAAACCCGAACGGGTATGGGCATGGTTTTGATTTTCTACCCGTTTCACATGTGGGTATGGGTATGGGTAAAACCCGAAGTACTTTGGGTAGGGTAACGGATATGCACTATCCGCCCCCGACCCATTGCCATCCCTATTGTTCAACAAACAGCAATATTTTTGAGTAAATACTTGGCAACGAAGGGAACGAATGACTAATGAGCATATCCCTATTCTACAAAGGCTATATGATTTATATCTTTGGTTGTTCTCATTTAGTTAGAATTTCAACTAAACAAGTTCAAATACATGATGTCAAAGGCCTTGACACCATAACTAGCAAGGTCTGGTCCTGAGTCGAGCAAAAGATGTGGACCTGGTTGCAACTCAGTTAGCATTTTTTTCCTTGGTTTTCTTAAAAGGAACCAGAATTGAAACTCAATCAAATTTTATTTGATACAATTCAATCGATTCAGAGTAATCTGGAAAGAAAATGATAAAAGGCATGAGAACTATGTTACTTACCAGTTCCGACACAGGATATTTAGGCAGCATGGCAACGGCTGGAATACATTATACATCTAAAAGAAGTGTTTTTTCCCCCTATAACGAAAACTTGTATAGCCAAAGGCCAAGAACAAAATCCATGAACAAAGCAATGTTTGCATGGCTGGCTCTCAACAGCTTCCTTCATGCATTTCTTTCAAGGCTGCAATTTCTCCCATTTCCAGATGGTCATATGAGCGGAGGAATGGGGCAGGGAAACAGAGCTCTCCTTGTGTGTATAACTCAGCCAGCCTTTGTTTTCGTCTGAGAAAACGACGGTCTTGATGAGAAAGGAAAGATGACCTCACCAAGATTGCTGAACCATCCCTTGTTGTATGTGTTTTGCTTGGCAATGGCCTCCACGGCATCTTCAAGTGGGGATTTTCGGAAAAAGGCTTTCCATTTGCTTTCCGGAGGCTTTGCTTCCATGCGCAAGTCGCTGATGCTTGCTTTCAGTGCCGCAGCGCTTGCTCGAGCTTCATTTAGCTTCTTTTGCCAGGTTAGGTGCTCCTGCCACTTGAAAGTCTGCAATTACACATAAATGCGATCAAGAACCCTATGCAAATACAAGGATCTATTTGTTAGACTCTACTACACAGACAAATTTGTTAAAACAACGAAGTATAAGCAGTAAATTAAAATTAGTCTATACTACTACTAATGTAGGTTGGCAAGATCATACCTCATTTGTTGTGGTGTTGGTGAGACAAAGGTTGACATGGTAGCCAAAGAATCCGGCTAATAAGAGAGAAACTATGGCGAGAAAGATCATGAGAAGTATTTGAGTGTTGTAGGATCTCAACAGCCACTGCAAGAACTCAAATGAATAGTGTTGTCAGAGGATTGAATGGAAGATGTGCAACTCAAGGAAATGAAACAATGACACCAGAATTCGCAAGACATACTTGTACAACATGAGGAGCCAAATCGCGAAATGTATTCTCGATTCCATAGTAAACTGAAAATTTGAGATAAAGATGATGTCTTAAAACTCGGAGAGTGCATACTCTTTCAAGACATGTAGTTTTATTGCAGGTTTTATTATTACCAGTTAAAATATAAACAACTCTCAGTTCTTTCAATCGCCCTGCAAGAACCAACGCTACAGCAACACTTCCATAAAGACACAAAAGCAAATGCCTGCAAACAAAAAGGCAGCTACATATGAAACTAACCAACAATGTGCAATCCATGGACTAAGCCAATGGAAGTTGCAGATGAATGAGTTACTAGAGGCTAATGGTTCCTTTCAACTGAACCATATGGATAAGAATGACAAGCACGAGCTTAAGGACACTTCGTTTGTGAAGCTCGCATAGATAACTCACCACAAAAGAAAACCCAAGAAGTACCGGTTATTTCTCTCCCCTATACAGTTATTCTGCAACAACAAACCTCTTTAAGCAGAACCGAAAATTGTTGGAGTTTAGAAACTTTGCCAAATGAATAACTAGCTCAAGAGTAGGAAAAAATGCAGTCATAGAACACGAACCATCCAACCACAATGATGGTCAAACCGGGCAACACATCGGTTGCATATGCTGCAGTGCTTTGATCTAGCAGGTCTGCAAAACAGGATGACGGCACATCAACTCATTGCACTCTTAACTATTAGAGAAAGATACTATAATACAGCAGTCAGGAAAGAAACTCACTTTGGAATTTTACATGTGGTACATTCTTTCTCCTTGTATAGGACTTCGTCATAAGGATATGCATTCAGATATTGCAAGACGTTTTCAGGCTTCACTATCCCGGGATCAGAAAAGCTTGTTAAAATGAAAAACAGAATACCAACAACAACTCCCATCAAGCTTATATATCTATGCCAAAATAGAAGATCGATTCAAGTCAGACTCGGGATGATAGCTGGAGGATAAGTTTGCACTTTGCATAACTAAATATTCAGGACTACGCTTGTACCTGTGAGCTCCACTTAGATAGTAACCAGGCATGTAGCTAAAACACGAATTTGCAATCATGTAATAAATTCCTCCAATTATTGCCACATACAAAATCTGCAGCAGAAGACGTCAAAGTCTAGCATAAGACATCCTTTCATATTGCAATAGTGGAATATATATCTTGATAGATGACACACAACAGAGGCAAATACATGTTCAATAGGAACAAGCAGTCAATACTGTTCTTCACAAAAGAATTATTCTAGCCTGCTTTGACAAGAATGCACAGGGCCACTATATCTTATGTTTGAATCAACCGCTAAAATTGAGGGTTTTACACTTATAAAGATTAGAAGACATGACCTTTCGGTCATCAAAGATTTTGATACCTTGACGAGAACTAGTTTATCCTAATACCGAGTTCAAGTTGCTGCACTGGCCTTCCATGTGCGAATTAGTTATTCTCCTCAATCCTTTTATAAGCTCTAAACTTTCGCATACTTCAATACCATCGCATAAAAATTAAGGCCTAGTTCTAGCTTATGTATGCATAGATTCAGAAGGCAACCCTCTTCTCACGCAACTTGATCTGCCCCCCTAATTAACTTCGAAAGGGGCAAATTTTGAAGGGGAGTCGATTTTCCGAAAATTTCTCAACTACTAGAAACTGCAACTCCATTGATAAACATAACAAATAGCTCGTGGTCAATGCAAATCAACTTCCGAATGCAAACATCCAAACCCGAAAACCAAAAGCAACCATTTCATTTTTCACAAAATCATCGACCACCAAATCACCTGAAGAATAGGATTAGGGCGATCGCAGCAGAAATACTCGATGGAGAGGATGAAGTTGGTGCCTTTGCTCCCAAACACAGCCCCAACAAGCCTCCTGCGAGAAACGGAAATCAACCCATCAGAACAAGAGCAGGGAATACTGCGAGATAATATAAGTTGGAGGCGCGTACTGGAAGTAATCGTAAGCGCCGAAAGTGAGGAAGTAGTGGATTCGTTCGATGAAAGTCCCCTGAAAGATTGGCCATTGACCGCAGAGAAACGAGATCACAACCAGCAGGGTGATCAGACCATGGCAGACCAGTAACCACTGCATCCCCATCAAAAAGAATTTACGCGCCGCTTGATGGAAGAAGGACGGCGATGGCGGGAATTTCTCGGCCTTCGATTTACAGTCGGGCCGGCCGGCGTTGAAGGAATTTGGGGAATTATGCTTTAGCTTCCAGCTTCCAAATTTTCGAAGCAGTTAAAACTTGAGAGTTGGAACTCCCGTCCCGTGGCTTTGTTTTGGATTTGGACAAATTTCCTTTGCATACTGAAAATGTTTTGTGATTTCACTTTTAATCCCCAAGTCAATTTAGACCAACTTTAGTGCATAGATCCATAATTTCCAAATTTGGGGCTAGAATTCAAATTTTAGCCCCTTCAAAAGTGATTTTGAATTGGTGGAGAGTTCCAAATGTTAAAAAAACTAGAATTCGACTTTAATTCATAATTCAGTTTAATGTAGATTTCACCATTCTAATTACAAAATTTGTTCATTATTTTTATATAGATATTAATAATTAATTAAATTGAACATTCCGATAAATTTTTTTTGAATTCGGACAAAAAAATTATATATAGATATGACCTAAACAATAATAAAAACATAATAGCTAATACAATTGTCATATATACATGACATATTTTATCGGAATGACTTTTTTCTTTTGGTGGGATGTTCGGAATGACTTGAATATTACACATGTAATGTTAATTTATTTTTATCTATAATTTGTTAAGTTTAATCAAAGAAGGAAGCAATTAAAGAAAGAGTCAATTAAAAGGAATTGGCTGGGGCGGATTGCAGAAGCTCTGCATCCTAGGCGCGTGTGGCACAATCAGGGAGGGATTTGCTGTGGCGCTCGGGTGGCGCTCACCTTCCTCTCCCGGCGTGTCTCCTCCGTCCCACCTTGTGGTCCCGCGAAATTTGGACCAACTTGTCTGTTTGTGGTTCATTTTTGGAACCGAAATCCGCTAAAATCCAATTATTTGGCTATTTGGAACCCCATTAAAGTGCTCTGGGTCCAAAATTTTGGAATTTTGGCCCAACACTAAAGATGGTCTTAGATTGTTCCATGCTTGTCCTTTTTATCGAGTCAGTACTTAAACCGGTTTATACCTTTATATAGGTTTGGCAAGAGGAATGATCTGAGTGGTGATACAACCAGATTCATATAAGTTTGTAGGGGTGATACTCAATGCAGTTATGGTTTAACTGCACCGCAAAGGCGATTGCCCGAGGAGAACAGACCATTCGGCAAGGGGATTCTGAAATTGCGGAGGATTGATTTGATCAAGCCGGCTCACGTACCGCTTTAATGGGCGAACAACCCAACCCTTAGAACATACTACAGCACCAGGTGGTGAAGAGCCGACATCGAGGTGTCAAACCTTCCCGTCAATGTGAGCTCTTGAGGAAGATCAGCCTAGCCAAAAACTGCAACCGACAACGTCGGTTCAGTGAGACAGTTAGCTTACAACCAGCAAGAGGGAAGGCTGAATGGTCCTTGACGACTGCGAAGCGCAGATTCATAATGGGTGGTTTGGTGATGATTTTCGATGAACCTCTGATGTCGTCGAGAAGGAACAACTGGAACATACATGGGCCTGGAGGAGCCAAGGAGGTGTTGGATCTGCTTTCGCCTATTCCTTCAGGCTTCCGCTGCTCTCACTATGCGCCAACCTCTTTAGATAGAGGAGCACATGAGGAAGGAAAAGGAAGAAGGGGTTGAAGTGACAAGGACGAGTCAGGGCTGTGAGGTCGACGGCGAGGATTGGCGTTTGAGGCGGAGATGTTGAGGATGGCGGATGGCGAGTTTGGGAGGGAGAAGTCTGGATGGTCGATTGGCAGTTGATTTGAGGTGGAGATATATATATATATATATATATATATATATATATATATATATATATATATATATATATATATATATATAACATTCTTGCAGGCAACCTCGTTAAAATCTACCTCCATATTTAAATAAAATACAATAATCCAAACACAATGAAAAATCTTCATGTTTAAATACGACAAATGCAAACATACAAAAGTGTATATTTGAATCGAATAAATAACATAAATATCTAAACATTCATACTTGAATCAAACAAGTAACATCGATATTTAATTTCACCAAAATGACATCATTTTATTCAAAGGTCGGAAATTGATTGTAACACCCATCAAACTTTACCATCATCATTTATTACATATCATAAAACCATGTAAGTTCACAAATCTTTACTTAAACCAAGTTACAAACTCTATGCATATTGAAATATGTGCAAAGGAAAGTCCCTTTTTCTTTCTCCAAAAACCCGGTTTTGATAACTTGATACTTACTCCCCCATAGCTACTCCAGATATAATGATAGGACATTCTGAATATGCTTGATTAATTTCTATTGTATCTCCCATCAGAGTTTTCACTAATAAGTTTTTGGTCAACCCATCGAGTGTTGCATGTAAGTACTTTGAAAATGATCGAGATACAAAAGAATGAGTGACACTCAAACCAATCAAAACATAAGCAAGGTTATTATGAATAGAAAATATCAGCTTAGTTTCTCTTCAATGCGAAAGCATGAGTTTGAATTTCATTTTTTACTCCTGGTCTACTAGCAGCACTCCTTGCTCCCATAATCCTGCTCCTCCCTCTACTTTCATCTCCACTTGCATTTCCTCTTGATAGATTGGTAGCTACCCTTGGAGCAGAAATAGTAGTCTGTGATAGCACTGGCGTAGCCAGAAATTTTCCTAAGGTGGGTCCAACGACTAAAAATAATAATAACATAACTTATATTAATGTTTTACAAAGACCCACGACGTGTTTTCATATTCTGGAAAGTATGTAAAATACATTCATCATCTAAACTATCGAGGATGTCGCTGTCAATGTAGCCAACTAAAAAATCATTCATGATTTCATCACTCATCCGATTCCGAAACGTGTTCTTCACGAAGTTCATTGCAGAAAATGCTCTTTCAACACTTGCAGTGGCAACAGGTAGCAACAATGCCAACTTCAAAAGTCTATACACCAGTGGGAACACTCAATGTTTTTTTGACACAACCATTTCCCTAGAAAGCTCAGCAATTCCCTTTAATCCTGCAAACCTTTCCACAGTCTTCATATCAAATATATAAGCATCTAGTTGATGAAGCTCAAGATGTGAGATATCATCTTTGGAGAACTCATAAGGATAAAAGGTAGCAAGCTTCAACAACTTTTCCTTGTCAAAGTCAGCAAATGAATCATCTGGATTTAAGCATGCCACACAACATAGCAATTCAGTGTTAATCTCATCAAAGCGACTATTTAGCTCTTGTAGTTGCATATCCACAACTGTATAAAATAGCTCAACCTTGTAATGATGCAGATTGGTGATTTCTTGAGATTTTCTCCTTAGTCTTCCAAGAGGAAAGTATAGATCATCCATGTTGACAATGGGAAGAGATTCCTTATTGCAGAATGAAAAAACACTATCAAGAAGAGAATCCCACCCTTTATCCCTCATCTCCTGCAATCTAAACTTTGCTCCACGAACAAGATGCATAGCATTCACTATATCCTGATCTTTCCTTTACAAAGTTGAAGACAACTCGCTGGTAATTGAGAGCACTCCAATCATCATTTTCAAGATGAATACAAAATCAAAGTTTTGGACTAACCTCAACAAGCAAGATGCATCAGCTTCTGCATCAAAATTTCCCTCCCATCTAATGATATCCAAACACTCAATAAGAGAAGAATATATTCGAGTCAAGTTAAGAAGTGTGTCAAAATGTGATCCCCAACGAGTATCACTATGCCTTTTGAGGCCAAGTTCCTGATTCAACCCCCGCCCAGTCTCAAGTTTACCACGACATAAAGCCTCAACAACTTTAGCAGCTTGACATTCTCGAATTTTATCCATTCGTTTAGAAGATCCTCCAACCAAATTAATCAGACCACTCACAGCCTTGAAGAAGCCACCCACATCACCATGATGTCTAGCAACTGTGTTAACTGAAGCTGATGAGCAAAACAATGAACATAATATGCAGATGAATTTTCTACCAAAATCAAAGTCTTGAGCCCATTAATTTCCCCACTCATATTGCTAGCCCCATCATAACCTTGTCCCCTTATTTTTTACAAACTCAACCCATTTGCCACTAGCATGGATTCAATTTCCATTTTAAGTGTCAAGGCTTTAGTATCTGGAACATGAGCAATCTCAGGAAACCTCTCCATCACATATCCTTCTTCATTCACATAACGTAAGTTCTTTGGAGCATTTTTCAACACAACACGTTCCACATCCTGCCTACCACGAGCATGGAGTTTCAGAAGTTCAGTAAAATTCCCCCTATTCTTTGATGATTCTGATTCATCATGCCCTCGAAGTGCATGACCTTGGCGTACACAATGTCTGATGCAGTCAATTGAAGCTTGTAAACGAGTTCTATAATCCATCTTTGCTTGATCTGATTGTTTGCATAAAGAAATTCCAATGCTTTGTGACTGTGTTAACAAGTCTTCACACTTTCTAACAGCTTTGTTGTGTTCACTATTAACAAGACCAACATGGTTCTCAAGAGCATCATCTCCCCTATTCCAACCTTTAAAACCAGTAGAAATGAAAGAAGTACCTCCACCCTTCTTGCCATCATCACTCCTAAACAAATAGCAATGCAAGCAGTATGCAGCATCTTTTGCAATACTATATTCCAACCAATGATATTTCTTGTACCAACAAGATTTAAAACTTCGAAGTCTTCCCCCGATATATTTAGATGGAAAACTATGATCAGGCTGACAAGGACCTTTTTGAAGGTAGTACCTTCTGACCATATCCCGAACATTAGGATGAAAGCATGAAAGTTGTTCTCTTAAACCCGGATCAGCTTTCAAAGTACTCACATCGAATTCACTTTCTTTATATGGAAAGCTGGGCTTAGAATGATTTACTGGGAGATGTTGTGACATTGTCGGTCATGGTAATTAATTAGGATCATGTCTACCCTCTCTTGATTCACTTACATCATGCTCCAGAACATTTGGAATTGTCTTGGCCTTTTTGGGAAACTATCTCTCCATTATGAAAAGCTACATATCCCATGACAAAAGTAATAAACACAAATTAAAACCAAATCAAATAATCAATTAGAACAAATATATCTATTTGAAAGGTTTGCTTCGTAGATGAGTTTCAATAAAGCACTCGAATTAGCAAATTCAATTGGTTTTTGCTTAATTCATTATTGTAATTTGTAATCCAACTTTATTTGCTAGGTTACTGCAAAAAATTTGTCCTATGTGTAGTGTCCTTTTGCGTGTCCCTATATATCCTCGGTCATTGTCTTTCTCAAATCCAAGCAACCAATTCTTCCCTCTTAAAATAAGAACATATATTCTAGCAAGCTAGCCTTTTAATTAGCTTGCGAATGCAATTGATTAGGTTAATAGGCCAAAGGGGATTTCAATTTTGATTAAGAACAGTTGAACAAGTAGGGAACGGAGATTACCTTGGAAGGGGAGTTGGTAAGCGGCAATTGAACCAAGTAGCGCAGACCTAGGGTAAACTGTCAGGTTTGGACGGCCGGCCGGACGGGTGACGTCCTAGTGGGTGAGAGTACGCCGCCGGCCTTTGGTTGCTGGGTGGAGAGGTAAGTCAACGAACAAGAGAGAAGTCTTTCGATAGCAGCAATTAGGGATTGAGATCTCAAGATTAAACAATTTGCTGGGAGTCTTTCTATTCTGTAAGTTAATTAAAATATGCTAAAAATAAATAAAATATAAAATTTTCTGCTACGTGCATAGCAAAAACTAAAGGGCTTTGTATAGCTCAGTGGAAGAAAGGAACCCATTACAATTATGAAAAGGACAAGGCTCAAAGCCCACGTGCAACACAAACATATATATATATATATATATATATTTTTTTTTTTTTGCCTTTCTAGACCAAACCCAAGGTAGGTCCGGGGACCTGCCCACTAATGGGCTGGCTCCACCACTATGTGATAGGTGGGAGCTGAATCATCCTGGGAAGAGCACTCTCGTGCATAATGCCCTCATTCCCCACATCGATAACAAACCAGTGCACCGCAATAGCAAGCTCAGAAATGGTTCCTCGCACACTTCGAACACGAAGGACTTTGGGAGGGACCCCTCTGGGTAAAAATATCACTACTAGCCACTGGCAAGCTCCCATGAGGTGATTTGGATCATTCTTCTCGCCAAAACCTCCATCAAATGATCGACCACCACTAGACGACGAGGGTCCCCTCCACTTTCTCTTCATTGGGTCATATAATTGATTTGCTTTTTTCTGAGCTTTTTCTTCATTTATCCAAGCTTCTGCTCGGATTTAACCGACTTTCAATTTACCAAAGGTGTAACATCATTACCCTCATAAATATAATTTTATTATAATGACGTTATTAATGACAGGAATAATTGTATTGTCCATTAAGTTAGGAATTGAATGATTATGGTGATTTAGGAGAGATTAGTAAGTTTTTTTTAGTGTTTTGACAAACTTTGAGGACTAAATTGGTGGAGAAAGGGGAATTGGAGGACTGAATGGTGATAGGGGTGCCAAGTGGAAGTTGTGGATGGAGAAGAAGAGAGTGTTCTACAAGGATTTTGGAGGTGACAAAAATCTGTCTTATCTCTCCCTTCTTTCTCATCTATCATTTTCTTCCCTTATTTTCCAAACCGTCACCACCACCTCCCCAGCACCACCATCTTCCATCATCCCAAAAATCATGAACTTAAGGTAGCTAAGGCAAGTTTGGGAGTTGGAGAATAAGGAGGGGAGAGCTTGAAGAGGTAAGAACCATGGTTGCATCTTCTTCCTTTCTCTAAGAAAAAACCCTAAGCCATAGAAATTATTTAGGGAGCAAAATAAGGATTTTTTTGCTTGATTTCATGCTACGAATATTGTTTGAAGATGTTAGAAATCAAGGGAAGAAAGTTAGAGTTAGTTATGGATCAAAATAGCAACGTTGCCCAAAAACCTAGTTCTTGGCCATACCATGTTTGGCGAATGAAGTAAAGGGTTATGATGATTTTTGTGAGTGTGTATATACATGATTTATCATGGATATTGTCCAAGAGGTTATTGTTTGGGGTTTAAGAATGGATTGGATCAAAAGAAGGGGAGTAGTGGAAGAGGAAGCAGAAATCTGTTTTGAACCTCAACTTTGATTGAGTGTCAAGCCCAAACTACTAGTCCTAATGAAGTCAATTTTTAGTATGTTGAGGCCATGTGTACCTAGTTTAACTAGAAAAAGAATCAGTCGATCTGGTTCAGAATTAAGGGAGGTATTATTAAAATTGTGAGCAGGGTAAGGAAGCTCGTGTCGAAGACTCGGCCGAGTTTTGGACCCATCTGGCCGTGTTTTCACTGCCGAGGATGAGAATCGAGTGGGTCCAGAGGGAAACTCGGTCGAGTGTTGGCAGGGGAGCAGGTCGAGTTTTCTCATAAGATTAGGGAAATTGATTTTTGAACCCAATGCTCATTAGTTAGCGATTCTATATGGAAGTATATGACTTAGATACTTTATCTAGATTATTTAATACGTGTTTATGATATATTAAAGGTAAGGAGTAAAGCCGAAGAGACATCTAGAGGCAAGGGAATCGTGGAGTGACTACAAAAGAGTGAGTAAATTCTAACCTATTAATGTATGAATACAAATATGATATCCGGGTCATGAAGTGGCCCGAATATGGCATGTGAGATGTGAAATGGTTGAATGGATATAATTTATGTGTGTATATAACTTGATGTTTGATGCATGATGGATGGTTGTTATGAATGTATAGTTATGTGATGATATATGTGAAAAAGGGTAAATGATGATTGATTATGTTGAATGAAACTTTGACATGTATATGATGGGGAATAGATTGAATTACCATATAATGTTAATAGGATAACCTAATTGGTTGTTGGGTGATACTGGGATAGCCCATTTAGATATCGTATGATACTGGGGAGCCTACAAGGCCGAATGTGATACTGGTAAGCCTATGAGGCGATATATGAAATGGAAAGCCAACGGGCGATGTTATGCTCATATATGATGGTATGTTTGTGAATGTTTAAATAATGATAATGTATGATTCTCATTGTGTGACTAATAAATGAATTGTTTGATCACCTAAATCAAACTTAATGGCACTCTGCCATGCACTCTATGAGATTTGATACTGTGGCTTTATTCCTAGCTCTTTGGGAGAGTGATACCAGGCCTAGTGTACCGACAATACCTCATGCATCTACTATCGATGCGTCAAGCATCTACTAATATTGTACTGGCGATGCCTCGTGCATCTACTAATGATGCTTCATGCATCTACTATTACTGTACTGACGATGCCTCGTGAATCTGCTGGTGATGCCTTGGGCATCTACTGGATCTACCCAAGGGAGTGCATGACTTAGCAAATTAAAGGCTAAAAGACATATAATCTGACTGACGCTATGTGTGTGTATGAATGTGTGTGTGTGTGTGTGTGTGTGTGAGAGAGAGAGAGAGAGAGAGAGAGAGTGAGTGATTGATTGATTACTAAATTATGCATGGATTGGGATATTAGTATTTTGCTTTGTTTATAGATAATGCAAAACATTTTTCATGGGTCTATTTTCTTAAGTAGAGTATGAGCTAGCTCCCTTGGAAAAATAATTTGTTCAAACACAGTTTAAAGACCATTAAAATTCTTTGTTCGGTCCCACGTGGGAAGTATAATTTAATTGAATTGCTTGCGTTCTACAAATAGATTGTATTCTCCCTCAACAATCTTGCCAGGAGTATCTCAGTAGAATGGGTTGTAAAACAAAAGCATCGCCATGTCTTTGAGTTGACTCGAGCTTTCTTGTGTCACTCTCGTGTCCCAAATAGTTTTTGAGTTGAGGTGGTTCACACATAGTGTACTTAATCAATCCAAAAATAACGCCTTTGTTGGGACAACGCTCGCCATATATTATTCTGATTAGAGGGTTTTGGATGTGTTTTTTAGTATTGCTTCCTCAAAAAGAACACTATAAATTAGAACCAAAGTTGATCAGGTGTGTGTTTGTTCGATAAAATGATAAGCATAAGGGATATTTATGTAATTACCCGGTGGATCGTCAAATGCAGATCTCATGTCATGTGGTCTTCCTCAAACATGTGATTCACTACTTGACTACCTAGGACGAGCTTCCCTCCAATGATTCGTTGGATTTTCTTGCCCTTTTCCTTCTTTTGAAGCATCCTACCCCATGCACCACATGCAACTACGTCAGGTGAAGAAAGCTCTCGTGATAACTTTTCATCACCATCCGTCTCAAGTAGTTGTTCATCTTTGTCAAGTCCCAGCTCACCTTTGTTGTGTGCTCGTTTGTCCTCCTCATCTAGCTTGGGAAACTCCAGCTCGACCAGTAATGGGTCTCAGATGTCCGAAGATCATGAAGCCTCAGCACTCCCTACTCAGGCTTTGGTTCCACTTCGGACATCCACAAGGGCCACTTTAGGACAACCCCCTGCTCGTATGATGGATTATGTGGGGAATTCAACCAATCCCATTTTAGTTTCATCAAGGAATGTTGTGGCAAAAGGAGATCCATGTTGAGAGGGAGCCATGCACGAAGAGTTAGGCACACTCGAAGCTAATCACACATGGGATCTTGTCCCTTGAGAACTGGATATGCCGATCATTGGCAATCGTTGGGTATTTACCATAAAGATGCATTTAGATGATAATCTCTAAAGCTTTAATGCAAGGTTGGTGGCTCAAGGGTTTCGGCAGGAGTATGACATTGACTATGAGGATACTTTTTCTGTTATTAAGATGTAGACTTTGCAATGTGTGCTTTGTGTATTGCATTGAAAGGGTGGTCGTTAATTCAGTTAGATGTGAAGAATGCATTTCTTCACGAGGATATGAAGGAAGCTATATATATTGAACTAACTCCAAGTTATACTAAGGGTCACTCAGGTATGGTTTGCAAACTTGTTCGATCACTATATGGGCTGAAGCAGACACCTCGTACTTGGTTTGAGAAATTTCATGGCACTATGTTTATGAGGGGTTTGTTCAGAGTCATCATGACCCCTCCTTGTTCATTCGACAACAATGGATGGAATTATGGTTATGCTCATATACATAGATGATATGGTATTGACGAGAAACGATGTGGAAGGGATAAAGAAGTTAACAACATTACTGCATCGCACGTTTAATCTTAAGGAGATATGAGACGTGGAGTATTTCCTTGGGTTACAGGTACAACATTATGATCATGACTTGTTTGTTTCCCAGAAGAATTACATTTCAGATTCACAAGAGGGGGCCAATAAAGTTAGTCTACTCCTTGCGTGAGGCCAGTAGAGCAAAACCTGTGGTTGTATCGAGAGAGTGGTGACTTGTTGGCAGATCAGTCGGCCTAGAAGAACTTGGTGGCATATCCCATTTACTTGACTCATACTTATCTGGATATCTCTTATGCAGTGCAGGTGGTGAGTCGTATATGGGTATGACACAGACAATGCATTTGGATGCGATTCATAGGTTATTGTGTTACTTGAAGCAAACTCAGGATGTAGGCATGTTTTTTCCCCTCGATAGGGAAGCTGGTAATTGAAGCATTTGTTGATGCTGAAATATATATATGGGTATCAATATGTAATAGGCCAATAGCTTATATATGTGCAAACCTATAGTGTATAACTTGTGTACTGTACAGAGTAACACGACAAGAATTACCTTGGAGAGTTCTATCTCTCATGGGGACTACTTCTGACATTTAGGGAGACCACATTAAATCCTTATTATTTAGATGATGTATGAAATTTGACAGCAAGATAGTCAGCATTGCGTGCAATAAGTGACCATGCTATTCTCATTGGATCTAGGCTAGCCTCGACTCATCATGCTAACAAAGTTGTCAAATCGTGCAGTGACTAATCTCCTGTTTCCACGGCCAACTACAAGTGTACAATTCTTCAAGCACAGATCTCAGCACATCTCGGGATCAAAGTTACAGATGTCATCAAGAACCACAAGATACTTCTTTCCCCATCCCACCAGTCCATTCCAAAAATGAAAACCAGACATTATTACTAGAACTAGTGGTAAAGCCAACTTGAATTTCATTGACTATACAGATATAATATAAACAGGCGATGATGACAAGTATGCATATACATCCTACTCCTACCGCTTAGGGAAAGAGCTGAACATAACCAGTAGCCACGGCGATCCCCAAGATGATCAAAGGTGGAAGAAGGACAAAGGCTCCGATAGTGGCAAAGAAAACAGAGTCATTCCTTGTTGATACCTCATTCAAGTAAGCTTGTCGCTTGATGTTTCTCTTCTGGGAAGTTGTCAAGAACTTGGGGCTGGCCTTGTTTAGATTTTTACCCACCAATTTAATGGTGAAGTCGTCACCGTCTCTGTCCCCAGCCAAGCGAATGAGCTGCTCACGGATCGTCGTGGAAGTTGCTCTATCACTCTCGTAACCTGGTTAACATAAATGCAGAGTGGGACTCAGCCCTTATTATATGAATGGAAGGAATGCTTCTGGGTAATCAGAAACCAGCGCGTTACCTTTACCATTAGGAGATGGTGAGGCCGATGTAAGTTGTTCCAATAAATCCAGCTGTGTGCGTGATGAGGACATCACCAACGATTCTTCAAAACCAAACGACATCATATCAAAACCCTAAATCAGCAGAGGCTCACTGCAACTAGAATCGCTCATTTTGGGTAATCAAGAATCTCTAATTCCAGCCTCAGTGAAGTTCAATACTAACTAAACCGAGTGAGTGGGAGAGCAAGTATGGAACAGAGAAGAGAGATGTACCAGAAGAGGAGGAGGAGGAGGAAGAAGAAGGCTCGGATTCTCCATTGTCAGCGGCTTGGACAAACGCCTTGGAAGAAGGAATATGGCGCCGGAGCTGCTTCGTCAAGGGATCCTTGTGCTTTTGTTTTAAGAAGACAAACTGATGACCTCCGCAACTGGAAGCCGAAGTCGAAGGGGACGCGGACGAAGAAATCTGGGACTGGGAGAGAGACGCGGCACTCAGATTCAACGCCATGGCTGATGATGGAATTACCCCAAGTCGCTTGGTTTTCCTCCTTTCTCCCCCTAAATCAAATCTGTGGTTCCTAATTTTCCTCTACAGAGGGAAAAGGGGGGAAACGAAGGTAAAAAGACAAGAGCGGACAACTGACAGCGGTGCAATTTCCTCCACAAGTTAATGCCACATCACCACATCCCGCCACTTGTTCCGGCGACTCTGACCACTCGCCGGAGGCAGAAGCACCAACCATTTTTTCTCCATCTCTTTCGACCGGAATCTGAATTCAAGAGAATAGAACCACAAGTTTTTTCAGACCACGCGTGCTTAAATTCGATGAGAGTGGACTCATTGAGAAGTGGTTACAGAGTTGAGGGGATTAAATGGTAACTTAATTTTTTTTTTTGTGGCAACTGGAAAGTTCAGCAGAATTCCGCTGTCGCCGTTCTGCAGAATCGGCTGGAATTCCGGTGACGGCGGAGACTCTACAAACCGGACACCGGAGAACAGTTGCAGCAAAGCCAGTCCCCTCCCCTCCTTCACAATTCCTTCATGCGGGATACAGCGAAACATTAATAAATGCATGGGGAAATCAGAGCTTTCAAGCAAACCGCAGCTGTAAATCAACGATCATCATGATTCTAATACCAACCATCCGATTATTGAAGACTAGATATGCATGCTTGCTTGCGTTTTGCACTGAGTTAAAGATAGCAAGACAAATGAGTCGCTAGGAAAAAAATTAATAAAATTTAATTTATACGATATAACTCCAAATACGGCAAGAAAAATCACTAATATGTTATGGGAGAGATTCGTAGTAATGTTCACTCGTTGACAATTGAAGTTATAAAGTAGAAGATGTTGATCTACATATTTGGAGCTCGTCAATCGTTACTTAGAGTATTTACAAAATTTCTGCATTTGAAATGAAAAAAAAAACAAAGAGAAACAAGACGAAAGAATGCGTATGGTTACTTTAATTTCGATGTTATATTCTCCATTTTAATGGAGCGCGAGAAGAGATGAATAAGAATGCAAAACCGATTTCAAACAAAGAGGTCGATTTGCAATACAACGATAAAAAATATGTTAATGAGTGAAACTCGTATTAGAAGATTTCTCCGTCATTTTCCTATTTGAGCTCGAGCGAAATGACAAAAAACGTAAAACCAAATACGAAAAAATAGATCGATGAGCTCGAGCTCAAACCAGATGACTAAAGACGTAAAATCAAATACGAACAAATAGATCGATTTGAGCACCACGACAACAAAAAATACACATATTTAGAATATAAACAATTCAGAAAGTGGAGGGACCCACATAACATTTCTTGTTTTCATTTTTCCTTATTATTTTTTTGGGTAATGTCTATTTTTATCCAAAAATTTTGCAGATTATTTTATATTATCAAAACCTATTAAAATGCTATTAATTAACCAAATCTTTCGTTGTGCATCAAAATATCAGTAATTTTTACGGTATCGTTAATAAATTTGTAACTCTTTTCTTAGTTAAAATACTAAGATTTTGGAATATTGACCTTCAAGTGTCTCTTCCAAGTCAATATCATGTTGCCAAGTCAATACTACTAACAAAATTGCTAATTGGAAGTTAACATTTGACTAAGTTTTAGTATTTCGATATGTTTGACTAATAAAAAAGAATCCAAAAAAGGTTTGGCTAATAAATAGTCATTACCCTATTTTTTTAAAACAATTTTCCCTTTATTTCTTACGATGACAGTAGAGTGGAGAAAGAGGGAACATATTTGGGTGGGACCCACACGATGAACTTTTGTCCTTACAGTTGTGAATTGTGATTAATTACTAAAAGACTGCTTAATGAATTGTAGAAGGGAAACCTAGACATTTACATAAAAGAAACTAAGGGCCCGTTTAGTATTGTTGCTTGTTTTTGTTTCCTGTTGCATTTAAAGAAATTTGGAAAACCAAGAAAAAAAAACGTGTTTAGTTGGGTTTTTATTTTTTGTTGTGAATCAGAGTTGCACAACAAGGCCCAAATATGAGAAACAACAATTTATAGCTTTGGATCTGATTCTTAAACATGTTGTACACGGGATTCCTACTGGTTGGGCGCTTGATCTCATTAAAACAGACCAGTTTTCGAATCCCCATAGAAGCAAAAAAAAAAAAAATTTAACACAGCCGCCCCAACCCATTTTTCTTCTTCTCCATTTTCTTTCTTCTTCTCGACAGAGACTCCCCTCACATCCGCCTCCGCCCGGCGACCCCGCCGTCGCCGCCCAGCCAGCCGCCGTCGCCCAAGCTCCCCCGCGCGACCCCGCCGTCGCCCAGCCTCCCCTCGCGCGACCCGCCGCCCAGCCCGCCGCCTAGCCTGTTGTTGTAGTAACTAAACGCGTTTTTGTTTCTTGTTTTCAGATTTCATGATTTTTCAGATTTATCAACTAAACATGTTTGTGTTTTCTGTTTTTTCCCTGTTGTGGTTGTACATCTGTTTACACAACACCACTGCAACCACAACAACAACAAAATGATGCTAAACGGGCCCTTAATAGATTGATTTGAGCACCACAACGACAACAAAATACACATATTTCACCTACTGTACTTTGTTATTGTAACTGGCTGCTTGTTATGCTGGCAAACTTCTTTGTTGCGGTTGCTTTTACACAAACAGCAGGAATAAATTTCATGTTATGAGACCATAACTTCGAAACAAACCAAATTTAAACAATTAAAGGTGTTAGAAGTCCGATGATTCTTTATGGCTTAATTGTTTGCGAATTGGACCTCTGATCTTGGTATCGTTAGAGGGGATGTTTGCTTAATAAATAAACCTTTTTTGTTTGACGTTCATGTTTCTGTTTAACCTAAACTTTAGTACTTCGAATCCTTTGAGAATAATATATTGCCCACTGCACTGTGTCATTGTGTATAGTTGTTTGCTGTGTTTTCTAGAGTTATGAAATAGACCACCCATAAATGTTATCCTTATAATGGTCTATTTGTACTTCTGGTGGTGAGAAATCATGATTTTAGAATAATATTTCTTTTTATACATTGTGTCAGGCTCCATGTTATGTTTTCAAACTTCTTTGCTGCTGCATTTACACAAACAACAAGAATACATGCAAGTTTTAAGATAACATAACTTTGAAACAATGCAATTCATGGTGTTGAATGTCCAATGTTTAATTTTTGTTCTTAATTATTTGCAAATTGTATTTCTTGATCTTTGTATGGAAAGAGGGGATCTTTGCCTTTTTTTTGTTTGAGGTTCAGGTTTCTCTTTGTGGTCCAAATGGTTGTTTTAAACATTATTGAATCAATAGTCAAATTGAAGGGGGGAAATGGTGTGTAAATGGGTTATAAAGATTATAGAATAGAAAAAACTCCTATACTTCCATAGCAATTAATGACCCTATCATTTTCATTCATTGGTTTCTTATTCTTCTTTTAGTACGCATGTTACGGTTGTGCAAAAAGAAATGGGTTATAGAGATTGAAGGTAAATGACATTTGATTAGTAAGTATATACTTGACTCTAACATAATCTAAGAAATTTTACATAATGTCATCATGATGCTTCATTTGAATACAACTTGACTTCTATTATCCAGAGATCCCTTATCCTTATTATCAAAATAGGGCAATTAAATCACCTCACCAATCAATGTCATTTAGTTTTTGCTACGTTATTCTTTTAGACCTTTTATATTACTGAATTTCATTCCTTATGTAAAAAGAAAATGCATAAGTAGGCTGCTCTTTTTTCTAAAATGTTTCAGCTCCTCCACTTATTCAGGAGAGAACTTGAGTCTTAAACTTCGAGAAGAAAGCTGCATCCTAAATGGTAAACACTCCAATGGCAAAATAGAACCATAATGAAGACTCGACATCATCGCAATGGAAATGTTTGATTCAAGTTCTCCATTTATTTGTATACTTGCAATTATTGTTGTTTTCATGGGGAGGACAATGGGTAATGAAGTTGTTATATAACCAAGGTTTGATGCATGTGAGGGAAAAGATAAGAGGGAGCTGCCATGCTAAAAAGGGAACGATATCAACTCAGAGAGAGGTACAAAGCGAAGAAGAGATATGTTCCACTCGCAAAAACCCCTTTTCTCCAGTTACAACGTATGTAAAATAACTCTATATACTTGCAATTATTGTTGTTTTCATGGGGAGGACAATGGGTAATGAAGTTGTTATATAACCAAGGTTTGATGCATGTGAGGGAAAAGATAAGAGGGAGCTGCCATGCTAAAAAGGGAACGTTATCAACTCAGAGAGAGGTACAAAGCGAAGAAGAGATATGTTCCACTCGCAAAAACCCCTTTTCTCCAGTTACAACGTATGTAAAATAACTCTATATACTTGCAATTATTGTTGTTTTCATGGGGAGGACAATGGGTAATGAAGTTGTTATATAACCAAGGTTTGATGCATGTGAGGGAAAAGATAAAAGGGAGCTGCCATGCTAAAAAGGGAACGATATCAACTCAGAGAGAGGTACAAAGCGAAGAAGAGATATGTTCCAAGTACTTCTCAAGACACTTCTAGTGCCCCAAAGATGCAATGACTGGTACTTTTCTCGGAAGATCCCGTAGTTGATACAAGATGCAAGAGGGTTGGACCAAATTTAGAAAATTAGGCAATCTTTTTTTCTATATAGACATTTTGGGGTACTGATTTCTTTTGTTAGTTTTGTTTAATTATATTGCCTCATTAACTACTCTTTGAAGTTCCGCTATACCGCTATTGGGAATAACAGTTTGTTGGGAATTGTAAGATTCACAAGTTAGGTTTTGCGAGAGCATGTATATTTAAGAATTGTCGACGAATAAAAGGATACCAATAGTAGGGTTGCTAGTGGGAATGCTTTTGGGAACACTTATTTCTCATCTTTCTCGACTTGAAAGTATTTCAATGCTTAATTTTGATTACTCGCGCTCCCTAAAATTTTCGACTGATTGAGTAGATCAATGACTATTTCATGATTGTTGTATGGTTGTTGTACCTCTTCCAACTAGCGATGGTTTCAATATTGGATTGGATGTTGCTTGGAATTTTTTTTGGTGGTGGTTGTACAAAGCAACTTAGTAATGAAAAATACTACAAAGAAATTTCTTTTAAGCAATTTATAATGACATTAAGAAATGCAAAGTTTTATGAAAGTTGGAAATAAAAATACACACAAGGATGGCCTGATAAAAAAACATATATGAACTAAGTATCACAACAACAAAGTAACAGAAAAAGTATTTTTAATTGTCGATAAATTATTTACAAAATTCCAAAATTATTTGAGAATATCAACGAATTGGTTAACATCAATAAAATAAAATTAAAAAATAAAATTCACCGACCAACGAGTGAGGTAAAGGCAATTCATGATAGGTATAATGTGGTTTTCTTCTTGATAAAAAAAATTCCTCGTGATAAGTTCGAACACACAAATATCCTTTCATATTAACCGTAGGCCGATCCCTTAGAGTTTCTAATGTGGTGTTCAATGCATATTGTCTTAATTTCATTCGTGTTTAACAGAAAATCAAGTTAATAATGACAAATATGATCAATAAATACACCTTTTATCATGTATGACAACATGAAAAAGGACGAAATTTTATTTTAAAATGTGAAAAAATATATAGATAGTAGTTCAATATGAGACAACATAATTTAACAAGAACCAATTGAAAAAAATACCTATAAATCAATTTAATAATATAAAAAATAACATGTACTACAAATATTACTTTCAAATCATGCATAAATTATATAAAATTATAGGTCTAAGATCATTTAAATATAAATATATTGATAAAAATAAATTATATGAAATAAAATAAAACTGATCCGACCAACGGTCAAGTAAAAGCTAGTATATATATGTTAATAGTAAATTATTATAATTTATAAGGTACTTGAACTTAAATTACAAATCAGTTATCAAATTTAGCATTCATTATATTATATTTTATGCGTTTTAAATTGTGTACAAAGCGGGCTAACCCGAGTTAAACCAATTCGACAATTAATTCTTCACTCACTTACTTAAATAAGCGTAGCCAAATCGGGTTGACAACATTCAATGCTGCAGTTGAACCGCCTAGAATTTCTGGCCAACCTAATAAATTCACTTCTACATGCTTTCACCGACAATGCACATTTACTTTCTAGGAGTTCATGACTTTCTGATATTTCTGTTTATTATTAAACTTTATTTTCAACAACAATATCATCGTTGACCAGAACCTGCTTGAGAGGGATTGCGAAGAACAAGTTGATGACCACTCATGGTGAAACCCTTCTTATAATAACCGAATCGGATCAACGAATGAACTAGTAGAATCGTCAAACCAGTTATGGTAGCGATTCGATTCATTAGTTGGACGGTTATTGATGGACCAAATGATTTTTTACGATTCATCATAAAATCAGATGAACCACCATGGTTTAACTGGTTCATTATTTTGTTGACAAATTTTTTATAAAAAAAAAACAATCACATAAACTAAGACCATCAAAGTATAATTATTAATTTTATTTATGCTTCCTACTCTCATTTTCCAACCTCGTTGTCAACTTTACATGGTCCGTTACTAACTGGCACCATAATTTTTTAAGTTCAATTAAAAAAATTATGATTTCTTTTGTGACGATTTAAATAATTTGTTAGATATTTCGGTGATGATATGAATTTGAAATTATGGTCAATGATAGCTTCATTCTTAAATTAGTGTATTACACAAATCTTGTATATTTTATATCATGAATTGTTCAATCAACGGTTAACTACTGAACTCTAGGTCTGGTTACGACAACAGACGTTGAAACATAATATAACAAACAAACGGCTCAACTGATCTACTAGCCCGCATTGCTGAATCTCCGGTTCTTTCTATCAGCCGCGCTTATTTTTTTTTTTTTTTTTTATCCAAGGCAAGCCCAAAGGGCATGAGACAAAGACTCGACACGAATACATGGCCGACTTAAAATCAACACGTTAGTCTGTATGCAACCAGACTACGATGAAAGAGCCTGAAAAGCCACTACTTGGGCAGCTCTGAAGAAGCTCCAAGGAGCAAAGACACGACACTAACGGAAAAAACAAAAACTCAACATCTCCAAGATAGTCCCGCTAGTGATTGTAGTTTCCATTGACGGAGTATGTTGGATGACCAATATCGATATGCCAACAAAAAAAGCAAAAGACATTAGCAATCTTCGACAAAGCATTCTTAATTACTCTCATAATTTTGTAAGAGAAAATAAAATCGAACCATCACCTGATAGATTGATGAAACTTATCTCACTTTACTTCATTACTATCATACCATATGAGCACCTGCAAAATGACCAACCAAAAAAGCACGACTATGGTGCTAAAAATCTCTATCACAAGAGATTAATTTTTACCCTTGAGGCAAAGTTGATCTTATCAAAAAATACACCACCAACGGTATTATTCACTTTTTATAAGTGCAAAACACTCACAATCAACTACGGTTCTCCAAAATTAGGAAAAGTGAAGTCTACTTTAACTAACAAAACTAAATGATGGAATTAGAGATATTAATGGCACCTTCATACCCCAAATATAGCATTTTGTGATTAGAATAAGAGAAAAAAGAAAAACAAACTAAACAAAAGGAAGGAAATTAACTGCGGGTACCCTAACACCCTTAATAAGTTCTAAAACTTAATGTCACAATGTAGAGGGAATGAATCCCTATTATCAACGGCATTTAAAGGAAATAAATAACCATTAAAGAGTATGAATCCAATAAATGAAAACGGTATCACCGTACCTAATTTTGGTGAGAAATCATAGAAAATTACAAACTTAATATGGAATTAGGCGCTATTAAAGGAAAACGGATGGTCAATAATAAAAGAGTTACCGTTTCAGCCGAGTAATAAAGATGGTCGGAAAAATCACCTTCTTCGATAGTGTGGCCGGAAAGACGCGGTGAACTCCGATCGCCGGAAACAGAGGGTATTGCAGAGTCACTCAGGCATGGTAGAGATCCCAATTGGTGGGGCGTAAATCGAACCCAATGCTTGAGCAAACCCAGAAGAAATTTATTGAATAACAAGCCCAGATGCAAAGTAGACCTAGAATGCAACTACAGCTCTAGAATGCAACTCAAATCACAGGAATAAACAACCAAAGCATCTCTAAAGAGCAATATTAGCTTACCGAAGAGTCAGTTCAAAACAACTCGATTATATTCCTAGCGGAAAAAAGGGGATTTCCGAAATCATGCATTGAATCAAATAGAGGGCCACAACAACAGTTTGACCTTACAACGAGTAACGATAACGAGAGCCTCCAGAGCGCCAGCACCGAAGCCGGAGAGAAGCCGTCGTTTAAATGTTGAGGATGGTATTACTGGATCCAGCTCCAAAGGGTTTGCTAACCAATTGCTTGCATGAAGTACGTCGTCATAACCGCGGGCTCCTCCAGGCCTGCGGGCTCCGCGTCACCTGCATCAAGATCGACCCTTACCTCAACATCTACGCCGGCACCATGTCCCCCTTCGAGCACGGCGAGGTCTTCGTCCTCCACGACGGCGGCGAGGCCGACCTCTAACCCTCCGTTTTTTCTGCTTATGCAGGAGATGCAGTAGAGATATTTCTCATCCATTTCACATCCTTCAACTGGAAAATCTAAATCCTTCAAACGACATCGTTGTCTCCTTTGCCATTTGTTGTTTCTTCAAAGAAGTGAAGATAACGATTCTCAAGAAAAGAATGGAAGATAGATAACGACAACATTGAATCGAAACGGTCGAATCAGATTCAGCCGCTGCATCCATATAGCTATCAGCCACACCACGAGAGGATTACTACAATCGTTTCTCTCTCTCTCTCCTCCTTGCCATCCATCCACTTGCTGCTCTGCCATATCCATTTAATTACCCGCCCGGAATGAGCTTTGCTAATGCCGCGAGTGAGCTGCTGATAGAATCTCCGGCGACCAGCAGGAGAAATCGGTCGGACTTCTCGGAACGGCGACGTAGAGCCCTGAAGAGGGTCGACAGAGAGCTGCTGAGGCGGAACTATGGAACCGCCCTCTCTGTGGTCAAGCAATTGCAAGCCAAGCAACTGCAAAAACAGAGCCTATTGCGGGGATTCGGCACCGCCAAACAGGTCTTCTACGTGTCAAGATTGCAACTTTCTTCTTGCCCATTTCCTGTTTGTGACTGTTGATAGAGTACATTGTATGAACTGGGTGGTTATAGGTTCCAATGGAATCATCGGCAATAGATGGGCTGCAATTCGAGGGGTTGGAGAGATCGTCGGTTGAAGCTCTGGTGGACTCTGTTCTGGATGCAATGCACGACCCTGCCCAGTTGAAATTGATACAAGAGGTCAGGAATACGATTTCACACCACACTAATGTTAGTATTGTCAAAAACCAGTTGATCCCAATAACTCGAGTTGTTGGGAGAAGTTTAATCGTGGATCATATACCACACACTAACACGCTCACTCAAACGAAAGCCACTCACAAGGGCTTGAAGTTTGCACAGGTAACACAAGACCTCTCGGTCACAGAAGATTCTAATACCATGTCAACGAATTAACCATTTGGCCCCAATAACTCGAGTTATTAGGAGATGTTCAATCGTGGATCATATACCACACACTAACCAGTTGATTCCAATAACTCGAGTTGTTAGGAGAGGTTCAATTGTGGATCATATACCACACACTAACACGCTCCCTCAAACGAAAGCCACTCACAAGGGCTTGAAGTTTGCACAGGTAACACAAGAACTCTCGGTCACAGAAGACTCTAATACCATCTCAACGAATTAACCACTTGGCCCCAATAACTCGAATTGTTGGGAGATGTTCAATCGTGGATCATATACCACGTATTGATTGCTAACTCAAACAAACAACACTCTTTTCTCACTTTTTTTTGTCCATCGTTGTCAGGTTGAAGCCAGGGGCCCAAGGAGTTGTGAAGACGTCCATTTGTTGTGCCTGCAAGTAAAAAGATGGATCTACACACAAACTTTTGAGGCAAAAACGTCTTTCTATTTTCACTTCACCTTGTAAAAAATGTGCAGTCTTGTTTTGCAGCATGAAGCTGGCCATTTCCTAGTCGGCTACCTAATAGGAGTTCTACCACAGAATTACCAAGTCCCAAGCGTGGAAGATCTGAGCCAGGACGAGGTCTTGGTCAAATCGAAAATCGAGTTCCCAGGGTTCGGCTTCCTGACAGGAGTAAATTAACCCCAAAACCGCCACTTTCCCTTCACTCTTCCCCTGCAAAGCAAATCTCACCAGTAAATAATACCATTTCTAGGTTGGTCCTGAAATCCTCCGAAGAAACCTCCCAATAGCAAAGAGAAAGGGTACGGCTGCTGCTATGGTGAACAGGAGGGTTTCATCAAAGGTGAAAAGAGAACCCCAAAAATCCCAAATCTCTTTCCTCATCAAAAGTAGTAATCGTGTCAATCGTTTTTGCAGACTCTGAACGCATTCTCTTGCGTAATGCTAGGCGGATTGGTTGCGGAGTACCTTGCCTTTGGATATTCACAAGGCCACCTTACAGATCTCCAAAAGGTTATTCAAAAATCTCTCCGAAGATGGGCAATAGTCTCTGGCTGTGATTCTGATGCCTCCAAAAACTTAAATCATCTGCTTTTCTTGTTACAGCTCCACAACACAATCAAGTGGCTAGAAATGGAGGAAAGCAAAGCAGAGTTTCAAATCAAATGGGCAGCACTCAACACCATATTCTTACTTCACAGCCATCAACAAGCTAGAGAACGACTAGTGGAAGCCATGGCAGATGGGCAATCAGTAGGGGTATGCATCGACGCAATAGAAAGCACCCTTCCTCATTAACATTCAACTCGGAATACATCACACAGTTGTTCGATAAAAATCCATCCGAAAACATAGAAACCAAAAAATAACAGAAATGATTTTGATTAGAGCTTAGTAGATGCTCAGAACTCTAGCCTTCTTCGAGTCACCGATCCGAGAAGTTTGAGCTCCTCATCGCCAATTGGATGTGCCTCGGAACAATCTGATTCTTCTTGTTATCCCCAAGGTTGTCAACCCGCGAATTGACCCGGACCCGGTCGAGCTAGTGAGTTAAGGGTTAATGGGTCAACCGTTTTAGCCCAGAAATATAGAAAGAGACATTATATTGCACTTTTCCTCATAAATTATATCAAATCTTATCTAACATATGAGTTATAACATATAATATTACACCAAAATAACATATCGTACTTATATCCAACATATAGTGAAAATTCACACACACTTATATAACATAAATATTCAAATGTTCAACTTAGTATTCCAAAGATTGAGTTAGGCGAAAAGAAAAATTGGAAAATAGGCGCATTTCGCAAACTAAAGAAAAAATGACACAATTTGACCTCCAACCCGGTACCTAATAGCGGTCGGCCCGGCGGGTGCGTGCGGCCCGTTTTTCTCACCGGGTCAGGGTCAAACTGGGTCGACCCGTGATTCAACCCGCGGGTTGACAACCTTGGTTATCCCTCATTGAGTTTTCCCGCAAGTTCCAATACCTATAATCCATAAATAGCGAAACAAAATTAGTAACACAAACTGTGACATCCGATTCCGATTAAACTAGCAAATTGGTCACTAAAAAAAATATACACGAATAAAATTGATTGTTTCGATATAATTTCAGTGAAAATCAAAATATCGATCAAGCGAATCAAACAGATTTTTTTTTGGGAGTTTTTATCAAGGCTAAGACTAACAAACTATCCGGTGCTAACCTTTCGCGCAATTCAGTAGAGCCTCTGTCAAGAGGAATTATCAAAGAGACCACGATGTATCATTGAGTGGTCGCGGCGCCGGTGGTTCACATGATGATAGAAGTGGTGGCAGGGGCGGAGTTAGCATTTGAGTCTAGGGTGGGGGGGGAGCGGAGACCGGAATTACTTAGTTTATCGTTACGAAAAAAATGTTATAGAGTTTTAATATTTTTATTATTATAATGACACAATAGATAATTTTAGATAATCAAAATCATTTAAACTATAATTACTACATGGTATGTTCAAAACAAATGAGTAAATTACTGAGAAAGAAGTTAATTATGAATTTCAATATGTAATACAATTTTAAATATTTTCATTAATGAAAAATGAATACCCATCAATTTTATCGTTTGAAATGCAATTTATTCTATAACCAAAAAACCCTTAAACATAATAATTTAACTTTGAATAAGTTGTTTAAAAATATAGGACTGGTAAAAGAAAATATGAAAGTTAACATGATTTGAACAGTTATATCCATATGAAAAGAGCAATTAAACTACCAACAAAACTTAATAATGCATTTCAATATGTAACATAATTTTTCATATTTTCACAAATAAAACATGAATATCTATTAATATTATTGTAAAAAAATAATTATACAATCAAAGCATTATTGTTGCTTTAGTTCAATATGAAAATGACAAGTTAACTAACAGAAGAAAGAGAAGAAAGCAAGTGTTAAGGTTATGAAAATAGCAAAAATAAAAATATAATATGTTGAAGGACAGATTCAAACTTTGATCTTTAGAAATGTAGGTCGGCACCTCTACCACTAGAAAACACTCAACACACTGTATCACTATTACGCCCAATTTTTACTAGTATTAGAAGAGGTAGTGGGGGCGCCCCCGGAAGCCCCACGTAGCTCCGCCCCTGAATGGTGGTCAGAACTAGACATTGAAAATAGGTAAACATGGTGCTAGAGCATAGGGAACGTTGAGGCTTTATGTCATGATTAATTATGTTGTATTGTTTGCACTTAGTACCAAATAGGTTGGGTTAGACCTTATGTGTCAAAACATCTCTAGAAGCTGCTTTGAAATTGGATTGAATAATTGGGAGTTCTTTCGTCTGTGTGGAAAAACCTTTTCAAGTAGCATAATTGATCATGCTACCTTTTGATGAATTGGAGGCCATCCTTGGAACATATTTTTTTGGCACACATGGAGCGTGTGAATTTAGAAAAGAAAGAGGTTATACAAAAGCGTGGTGTGTATTGAAAGACATTAGGAGAAACAAAACTAAATGTTTAGTTTTTTGTCGTGAAAGTTGTTCAACTAGTGAATGAACAATGTGAAGCCTTCGATCAAGTGATGTTGTTAATGAGCATAGGGTTGAAGATGTAGAGGTAGTAAAGGAGTTTTTTATGTATTTTCTGAAGAACTTTCCGACCTTCCACAGGCGGTGGAAATTAAGAAAAAGAAAAAAAAAAACTTAATGTATTAATCACTCAAATGAAGTTGGGGAGATGGATAGCAGATAGATCCAACCAATTGCAATCAATTGGTTCCCCATTTCCTCTGCTATAAAAGGGAACGTTGTCCTCCCTTTCAGAATCATCCCTCACCATTCCATCCTTCTCCATTTCCTTTGCTCTGCTTCTGTTCGTATTTCTTTTGTGGGGTTTTGGTAGTGAAACGTTTTCACTACCACGGGTAGATAGGAGATTTCCTTGTGAGTGAAATAGTGAGGTTGTTTGGAAAACACCGTGTGTTCTATTTCTTGTATCGAGAAAATCTCTGTAACCTACCATTGTTATAGTAAAGAAATACTCCGGAGCTGTTGTTCCCGTGGACTGGCCCATAATCAGGGTATACCACGTAAATCCTCGGTGTCATTTATTATTATCTATGCTTTTTATTATTTTGAGAATAGTCGTAGTATATTGCATTATTAAATTACCGAAGTAAATTAATCTAAGTAAGTTGGTTACCGTAATTCTGGAGGCTCTGCCACCAGGTCCAACTTACCTGTGAACTTTTTGATGGGGAAAGCCTTAGGGACAGGACGAAGCATGAACATTGTGAATGCCAGGCTTGAAAAGTGCTCAATAGTTGATAAGTGCCCAATAATGACTCGAAAGAGGGGACGACAATTTTTTTGGGTCGTGAATGCCAGCTGGACGATGAAGGGACGATTACTTTTTTTTGATCGTACTACCTTTTGAATGCCAGGGGACGACATTTTATGGAACATGAATGCCTCAATCGACGATACTTGACTATATTTGATGGGGAAAGCCTGCAAAATGAAAAGGCTGGCCCAAAACTCTAATTGAAAGGACTCATTAATAAACCCTTACCAGCACAGAAGCCCACAAGGGCCAATTCAGCCGCACTTGAAGTTGAAAAGAGATTTGAGGAGGCCCACTTAGTTGGGAGAGCCCAAAAGGAGAAAACCCTTCTGCCTCTTAGATTGATGTTGGCCCATTTGGGGAAACCCTTCTCCCTAATGTGCCCACCTCAACATCCGCATCATCTATTCTATGGCGAAGCTATCGGCGGCGTCGATAGAGCAATGGCGGGAGCTTGGAGATGGAGCAATGGCGACCCTGTTTAATGGCGACGATGGCGCGGTCGACGATTGATGATGGCGATGGTTGGCGACCTGGATTTGAGCAGTATCACCTAACACTAACAACGATGATGATTCAACGACGGCGGGAGGCAGACGACGATCCAAGCCGATGCATCCCGTCGTTCGCCGGGTCTGATGGCGCTAGAGGTGGTGACCAAAGTGGCGCTTGATCTGGTGACGATGGCATAGAGGACGATCACGACCGAGATTTTGACGGTTAATCTAAATATCTCTTCATGTCGGTGACGACTACAATACAAGTTCGGAGGCCGGAGTGGACATCGGCTCTCCTGGATACAAAGCGGCAAGATGCGACGGCGAGAAGGACTTCGTTGTCGCTCTTTCAAAAGAGGAGACATGGGCATGTCAATGAGGCTAGGGACGACAACATCGGTGGCATTGCTATGCTGGTCATGGCCCGTTTCCCTTTCCGGCGTGGTGACACGAACTTGATTACAGCGCTGGTGACAACGCTTTCTCCGCCGCCGGTGACGACGACGACGTATGTTGACTATGTTCAGCGGAATTAAACGTCGCTGATGAAGAGAACAAGCTAGAGGGATGAACTTCACTGGTGTGCGGAAGACTAGCTGAATCTACAACTCTGATACCATGTAGAATTTGATAATGCGAAATTGGAACAACACACGAGACAACGATTTTACGTGGTATCCTCGATCAATTGATCGAGACTAATCCACGGTGAGCTCATAAGAGCTCATGACTGATCTCTTATTAGGATTACATCTTGACGGCTTGCTATCACACAAGTCGATAGCTAAGCTTATATAGATAAAATTAAGGTTAAAACCCTAATCCAACGAATGAGGCCCAACAAGGCCCAATACTAACACGGTTTAAGTAACCGCAACACTCCCCCTCAAGCGAAGACATGAATGACAATAATGTCGAGCTTGAAGAAGTAAATGTGAAGAACAAGCATGATGGCTTGAACCACAAAACTTGAGATAAATAACATCTCAGACGGGGTTGATTGTAGACGATTGACTCTCTCTGAACAACCTGATGATGGAGACGATTGATTGCGTCTCTTGAACTTGAACACACTTGGTACATCCCGGTCGACCCGATGACTGAATCAGTCGACCTACGTATGCTGGTTCTTTACATAATAACCCATGACTCGATAACTCTTTGTTTCATCTCCTACCCATCCGCTCGTCCCAGTTGATTCTTATCGCAAGTGAAGACGATGAATTAACCAAACCCATGTTTTTCGGCTATGGACTGTGATGGAATGGGCAGCTAATCAGATCGACAATCGCGTCACTTTCGCAACCAGTTTAGAGCTCTTGTCACTGCTTTGTTTCCTGCGGTGAACTGTTGTTCAATTTTTTTGCTGCTACTATCTTCCCAGATCGTGGAGGCTCTGTATCCTCAGAGAAGAAGACTTTACATAGTGGACTAGGATAGACACCATTTTGTTGCTGCTAATTCTCGATTTAATAGCAAAAGAAGTGAAAGGTGCGTTGAAGCACAGGTTCCTTGATCGGAGATGGAGTCGGTGAAGAAGGGAGACGAGGGAGTGAACGGAAGAAGCGAAGAGGAAGGTTGGGTTAGGTTAGGGTACTGATGTGATAGGTTTTTATCACGCGACATGTCAGATTTTAATTTTTTTTGGGTGATTAAGCGTTTTCGTTAGTCATGTCAGCAAAACTCTGACGTCGTTAATGAAGATTGATGGAAGGTATCGATTAGTGACCAAACTTAGGCCACTGAACTAATCTAAGTGACCACGAATAAAATAAAATATTTTTAACTGAAAACGTGAAACATTGTAGTAATCCCAATGACCAAACTTGCAATTTATCATATAATTATCGTGTTTTAATTCTCAAATCTATTTGTATCTCACTTCCCAGTTCTCATAATTGTTTTCTATGATTCCTCGTCTGCAACAATCTAATCGCGACTATTTCTCTTGTACCATATTTTAATCATAAAACACATGAT